GCTTTTCACATTTACCTAGAATAAGGTTGTCTATGGAAGTTTTACTTCAATAAGAAATATCATTGAGGGCTTATTGGTACACTGTTGTTGGGAACTGCCTTGCCTGCTTTCAGGAATTTTAACTGCCCCCCCATGACTAAGTGAGTGACCTCTGGAATGCAGGCCACAGGAGAAAAAGATTGTCTCTGGCAGCTGCTTCTGCTTCTTCCCCTCTCCCCAAAGCATGTTCCATGTCCATGGCAGGTATGACTCCTCACAGAGAGGAACAACCTAGGCCAGACACGATCACTTGGGAGGCCATCATGGAAGGACTGGGGGGGGCTGTGACAAAGAAGGAGCAATGGACCCTCTTCACCAACCCCCCAGCTATTGTCACATAGCCCAAGTCTCCATTTCCATCTGGGAGAAGCACTTCCTGGCTCTAATCCACTTAAGCCTAAAAATCTTTGATGGGGAAGGCAGTACAGCCCTGTGCTAGAAAGGGTGGGTATTTGGGGTAAATCAGGCATAAGAAAGAGTATGTAAAAATCCTGTGAAACCTGCTTTGTTTAGAATGCTCTCATTTAAATAATAAGTGTCCAAGCAAGAAATTTGTTCCTCAAAGTTTTATGGCTCCTTAGCTATCTGACTCTGACTGAGAATAAGCCCTCATAGTTCTTTTAATGATATCTATTGTTTGAGCCTTACCTGTATTCTTGTGCAAACAAACCCAATAAAAGCCCCTTGAGCAGGGGGCTCTTGGCCCTTCCCCTTTGAGGGATTGGCCATCTTTCCTACCCAAGCATTTCAGATCATGTCTCAGTCATGTTTACTCTCATCCGTGGCACACAGGGGGACTTGTGAGGAAAGTCACTCCCACACACTGTAACCCAGAAATTTTCAACATTTTACATCTTATGGCACACATAAACTAATTGCTAAAATTCTTTAGCACACCAAAAATATATATTTTTGGCGAATTTGTTGAAAAATAAAAATAATTTTGATTCATTCACACCAGATGGCTATTGTGTGGGCTTTTGTCATTTTTTATTTGACAATCTGAAGAGAAACAGGTAAGTGCTCCTCACTAAATAGTCAGGTATAGAATGTTTTGAAAATTCTTGTGGTGCAGCAGTTGAAAATTGCTGCTCTAAATAGTCATGCTTGAGTCTCCACCATTTTGTGGAAATATGTATTACCCATTCCAACTGGGAATTACCACTGGTCATTTTTTTAGCATTCTCTTACCTTTATTTCAGTTACAGTTTATACTCAATATTATTTTATATTAGTCTCAGGTGTATAGCATAGTTGTAGGAGAGTGCAACCAGGGGACCCCCAAAAGAATAATTTGCAATGGGGTCCAGAACTCAGGGTGTCCAGAAAATATTAAAAATATGGGATGTCCTCACCCCCACAAGTCTGAGCTGGGAGGATGGGATACATGGAGCAGGGCGATTGAGTTGTTTTTCATAGTAACAGTTTTGCAGATAACCTCTAGAATAGTCATTTAACATATCTGTAACCTTTAACTGGTTTCATAGATATGTTAAATAGCTGTGGTCATGCTTTGAGCCAGGAAGAAGAGAGTGACTTCCACTCAAGATATAACTGGGAGGCAACTTCCCAGCCCTCCTTACAGCACCTGCATGAGAGCTTGGAGATGATTGGCTCCACGTCATGGGGCCACACCTTCCCAGACTTACTATGGCAGCCCAGTAAAGCTGGGAGGATGTGGGAGGCCTGCTGGGTGTAGCAGATTGTGGGAGGAATCGTAAATGGGACTGCAGAGGACGATTGGTTTGGGGATTTAAATGCAGATGTGGCAGCCATTGAAGGGAGAATCATGAGCTTTTGGCCAGAATGGGGACTCTCGCAGCTGTGTGGCAGAGGATCATCATGTAGCTTTAACAGAGAGAAGGATGCCACTTTGCCCAGAGTGGGGGGGTCCCTCCCCTACAGTCATGAGAAGAATCATCATGCAGCTTTAGCAGAGAACCGCCACACGGCTTTGGCAGAGAATCACCACGCAGCTTTCTATTTCTTTTCCTGAGATACAGTACCTTGGACTGGGCAGAGGGGGAAATAAGGGCTGTGTGTGTTTATGGGTGTTTTAAGGGACTTTGGGATTTTGATGAAGACATTAAGTCATTACTCTTAAATCTGTATAACTTGAATAAATAATTCCTTTTCACCAATCTCTAACATGGAGAGCTATAATGCTCTGGTGAAGGCAAAGGCGGACCTAGTACAGGGGGACCCCATGAGAAAGGGGGTTAACTATGTAACATTGTGGGACCTCTTCCCTGGTGGCCAGTCCGGGAAAACCATGGGAGACCCCATGTGCAGTAGCTTTACAACTACTTGTCACAGTAAAAGCCTGCCAAAACTAGGCAGGAAGGATCCGCCCTATAAGAGTAGAGTCCCTCCAGCCTACGAGGTCAATCTCTGCTTGGAGTTGGCCTGCTCCCATGTTCTCTGCTATAAACTCTGGGTGTTCGGTTCAAATCTTTGTCCTAATCACCAAGAACCTGTTTACCTGTGCACACCTGTGACATAGTGATTATACAATCACAGATTTTATAAACTGATCCCCCTAATATTCCCAATACCCACCTGGCTCCATACATAGTTATCATATTATCGATTCTACTTCTCCTGCTGTGTTTTAAAACCTCAAGACTATTTTGTAACTACCAATTTGTACTTCTTAATCCCTTCACCTTTTTCATCTAGTCTCCCAATTCCCCTCCCCTCTGGTAACCATCAGCCTGTTATCTGTGTCTGTAAGTCTGTTTCAGTTCTGGCCAATTCTTGATGATGTTCGTAAAGGTTTATTGATTAAAGAACAGCAGTGACATTAAGAATGGCCAACTAAAGGTGACCAATAATCTTAATGACATTGATCTATAGGCCATGAAACAAATTTTAACCATAAAAACAGTAGATCTCTCTTAACTTACCCGATATTTTACAAGTAAAAAGAGCTACCCACTTCTTAATCATGTGGGAAAACAACTTTTCATGATGAATGATGTAAAAGAGCACTGAAGAAAAATCACAATTTATTTTTTATTATTCTAACATTTATTAGAAAGACTAAGGCATATAAAATATTTATTTTTAGAACACACTATTTTTTATGCACTTAAAATTTATGTTCTGTGGTCTCTCTATTTGTATATAAATCACAGGGTTTATTATTAATGGTTTTCTCTTTACTCATAAATGTGATTGCCAGTAGCTTAACACCACAAGTAACCTAGCAAAAAGTCAGCTTTTCAACAAGTAAGAAATAAATGCAAACAATATGTTATGGGAAAAAAAAAGAGTTCAACTTCAGAGTACTAGTGCATGTGTACTATTAAAATCAAGCTGAAATCTTTTAATTTGGGGGAAGTTGCATGACAACTGGTATTGAGTTTTCTAGTAAATAATATTGTCTTCTTCAAAAATATATAATCTGTTTCAGACCACATCACAGTTGACAGGTAACTGAGTGTGTGTAGGCAAGACCAGTATTTTGGCATGTGGTCACTGTTTGGTGCATGATTTTATTGGATGAAGTTTTCACTATAAACCTTCTTATCAGTGACACATTGCTAATCTCTTATATACTTTTAGAGTGAATATTCTGTTTTATTTTCAAGGTGTTGTGCTTAAAGTTTTGTGCCTTCAGGAGATTGATTTCTTGAAAATACCACAAACTATCCCACCATGTGTTTTACATTTTAAGACGTTGGTATAATTAATATTGGTTTCTTTTGGTGGAATCAACTTCTACAATTTTTGTTTATTTTCACCAAGAGAATAACTCCCTCCCGTTTAGGTTGTAAGGCCACATGGAAGTGTATCGGTGTAAGGCTTTCTTGGACTGTCACTTACTGGACAAACTCAGGTGTGGAGGGAACAACTTTCACGACACAGCACCCTGCTGCCTGTTCCCAAGGCATTATGACTCGGCTTTTCTCATGTGGCCAACCAGTTCACTTCATTTTGAGAAATCTTAGATGCCTTTGGAAGACTGAGATAAGGGACTATATGATGGGACATGCACTGAACATACAACTACGAACTTAAAGTGAATTCATAGAATGTAAAACCAGCTAGCATCTGCTCTCTGCTGATGATTTTGCACCCAAGATATCCTAGGTTTTTAAAAATCTAACCTTAAATTACTCTGAATTGTTGCTGTAGTCACTACTGGGATATGAGCTCAACCCTACCATCTCTTTCTCATGGACCTCCCAGATTGCCCCTCCATGGTGAAGAGGAGAATAAAAATCATGACATTCTTAGAGACAAGGTCAAGCCTACTTAAAATCATCTGATTTCATTTGTATGTGAAAAGTTTCCCACTTACATTATTTGAAGTGACTTGTCTTTAATATAGAAGAATGTTCTTTGCATAAGAAATATTTACCTACCCTTGAAGACACCTACCTGTGATTGGGTAGACAAGTTACATGGAATTTGTATAAAGAAAGTTGGGACAGAATCCCATATTCTCCCTGTATGCATGTGATTTGTCACAGCTGGAGTTACTGACCAGGTGTTCAAGAAACAGATATTTTATGTGTGACAAATGCCCATTTCTTTCCTTTCCAGCAGGATATCCGAATGGGTCACAGTGTGGAAAAAGTACCAACTTTTGTTTAAGGAGTTCAAATTCCTAGAGGGAATGATCTTTTTTTTGTGATTTTATCCAGTATGTACTACAGTGCTTTATAAACTGTTATGTTGCAATAAATGATTCATCTTTCTCTTTTAGTTAGCATTTTTAGGTATATTAGAAAGATTTGTAACAACCGCTGAAATTACATTTAAATAACCCAAACTACAGAACAAACGTTAAAAAGAGAGAATTCTTTAAAAAAAAAAAAGGCAAAACCCTTAAATAACATATGCCCTTGTAGAGGAAATAAGGTTTAGAAGTCTGCTATAGACATAATTCATTATAATAAAACCATTGTTACTTTGTGAATTTGATCAGAAAGGAACATTTTTTTGTATTGCAGGTGTGGCTGCAGAAGTACGGCTACCTGCCCCCAACAGATCCACAGATGTCAGTGTTGCGCTCAGCAGAGACCCTGCAGTCTGCCCTGGCAGCCATGCAGCAGTTCTATGGCATCAACATGACAGGCAAGGTGGACCGGAATACCATTGAGTAAGTCACCAATCCTGCCTTTTCTCTGTGTGTCCTCCTGCCAGACCATGCCATCTGAAAACCTGTAACGAACTACAGCAACATCAAATGGACTTGCTATTCTCGTGAACTGTCCTTTGGAATTTAACTTTTTCAAACTCCTGTCCTCTAAGATACCAGATTTACTCATCTGAATTTAGCAGTGCATTTTCAAAATAGGAAAGAAAATATGGACAAGGAGAGGGAGAGTCACAGTGGGCCCAGCTGCAACCATTATAACAAGAGGGACCACCAGTGGAGTATTGGCTGGCTATACAGCTGTGGAGGGCATATAGGCACATCTCATTCCTGTTGAGTGATGCCACAGCAGCCACTTGAAATTGATCAAATTAGAATATTGACCCCCAAGGAAAATGGAAACAGTACAAATCAGGGCTCTTAGGAGAATAGGGTAGCAGGGAGCCAGTCATTAGTTAACTAGCCTCCCATGAGTGACAGTTCTACTTGTGTTACATCAGAGAGGGATTTTCCTTGAAAAGTCAATTGTTTATTAATTCTTTAATAATGTTTGTCATTTTATTTATTGATTCATCAATCATTCCTTCATGTATATATTCAACCAATCATTCTTTACTGGGTATTTTATAAGTGAAAGAGGCAGAGACAGCTTCAGAAGACTTGGTCTCTTCTTCAAAAGGACTTGAACTTAAGGAGTCACTAGACATAGTCATGAATTATTTTAGCACATGTGCAATGGAACTTTCCAACATCCTGAAAAGCATTATAACATCTGGAGAGCACAGAAAAAAGTGATTAATTTCTTCAATTAAGGGAAGCTTTGTTTGTGTTCATTGAGTCCTTGATACAAAGTAAATCTCTCGCATCCTTTATGATAATCATCATATATCAATCATCCATACAAGGGAGGGTAGGGATGCATTTTTTATCTTGATTTTTTCAAATAAAGGAACAAAGTCGATAAAGAAGCAGAGTCCAAGGTAGCTGCAGAATCTGGACCTGTTGATGTTTAGTTGGGGAACTTTTACCATGCTGTGTACATTGATAAGGACACATTTTTCTTTTCACTTATTTTTTAATCATCACCTGAGGATATGTTTATTGACTTTAAAGAGAGGAAAGAGGAAAGAGTGAAAAAGTGGGAGAGAGAGAGGTGAGAGAGAAACATCAATTGCTTGCCTCCTATATACACCCTGACCAGGTATCAACCCTGAATCCTAGGTATGTTCCCTGATCAGAGATCCAACCCACACAGCCTTTTAATGTATGGGATGATAGTCCAACCAAGTGAGCCACCAGCCAAAGTAGGACAAATTTTTCTTTTTGAACCTTAAATGCCTAAAGTACTTGGGCTCAGACATATATAACTAATCCTGATATATTAAACTAATTTAATATGTAATTTTGAAATTATATTTTTTGCTTTCTAATTCTTAGGTCAGATGTTCATCATACTATTTCTATTTTATCAAAAGCACATGAAATAAAGGCTTGGAGAGTAAACATCAAATCAGTTTGAAAAAATAAACACGTTACCTCACTAAGCATTCTTAATAGACACCTAAATATTAAATTTGATTTATATTTGAGAAAATATGATCAATAATTAATGCATTCTGTAACAATGAGAAACATTATCGATATTAGGAATAAAATGTGAATATTTTCCACTGGCTGCCCTCTAATCATTTTAATTCTTTCTTCAAACTTTCATTTTAACATATCATGTATCTCTTAAAAAACCTCCAGGTTTTTGTAGCTGTGTGTAGTACAGAATTCCACTTCAATTAGAACTCTCCATCCCTACATTTTACAAAGTTCACTGCACACCCTTCTTGTTCCCTAATGTAGAACTATTCTCTTCTAATCGAGTTTTTGAAAAATATGATACACTGTCAAAAACACAATAAATTGAGACCTTGGGAAAATTTCTTTTTTATTTTTATTTAAAATATGCTTATTGTTACATACTAAATTTAAGAAAATATAGTCTTATAGAAGATGGCATTGATTTATCGAGCTCCCGCTGGTCATTAGAAGAACTCAGGATGAAGAGGTTTGATTTCCTTTTTTTTTCATTTTTAAAATCTTTTATTGTTTTTCTATTACAATCATCCCAGTTTTCCTCCCTTGTCCCTCCTCTGCTCAGCCACCCCCCTCCCACAGTCAATCCTCACACCTTTGTCATTATCCATGGGTCATTCAAATGTGTTCTTTGACTAGTCCCCCCCGACTTTTTTCCAACATTACCCCCTCCCCAGTCTCCTCTGGCCCCTGTCAGTCTGTTCCACATTTCCATAAAAAGGCAAAAAAAAGGTCACTGTGTGGAGATGCTGAAACATCCTATTCAGAAATGAGTTGAACCCCCTGTGGAAGGGGTCTAAGTCTGAAAGTCTGTGGTTGTCCTTAAGGGAAGTGTGGCGGACATGGGATTTTCCTGGTACAGTGGCTCAAGTTCCAGACCAGAAGAAACATTTCAATGGGTTGGCATTAAATCAGCATTTCAGTGAAGTACAGCATTAGAGAGAGAAGACCTGCTATGCAGGCAGCCTTTGATTGAAAACAAACCAGTGTTTTGGCTGGTTTTGGTTTTTTTCTTTTAAACAGAACTGTGTCCTAATCTTTTCAGAATTGAAAATGCCTTTTTCCTTTTAAACTTGCTATTTCCATACTTTTCTAGGTGAACCTATTAAAGTCTTGTTAAAGCTCATCATCCCCTTCCTCCACTGCCATGCTTCCTCTCTCCTCTGTCCCACTGCAGTTGTCACTCATCTTAGACACTGTCACTTTTTTGCCTTTTTGTTGCTCAGGTATTCAGCTCAAAGACTAAAATCTCCATAATTATACTATTTAAGCAATTGTCTGTGCTTTTGTTATCTTAAGAGGATGTGTGCTAACAATCCATGCTACAATGGCCCTCAGTTAATTTATACAGTCAAATTATAAGGTGTGAGATTTTATCTAAGCCTTATCACATAAAGTATGTGATAGAGTTATGGACTTAGAATTATGGACTAGAATTCTGGACTTAAAAAGTTTGCTCTGTGTTGAAATGTCTTAGCATTGTTTTCAGACCCTATAAACTTTTATCTAATTTTAGACTCTTGTCAAAATCAATTGTTTTGAAATTAAATAACTATACCTTCTTTTGACAAACACACATTTGGTACATTTAGTCTATGATTCTTGGGTAATTAAAAAAAGCAATGCCATTTGTGGTAATCTATATATCATGTTAAAGAAATTAACCATTTTCAAGCAACAGATGTAGTTATTACCTTAAATGGTGTATTATATTGCTTTTATATTAATTAGCATTGGTGTTGGAGAGATAGCAATAAATACATATGCCACCACCCCCAAATTAGCTCATTAACATATATTACAACAGTTCTTTCAACTGATGAATTTCTTAGCTAATTTTTGTGAGCAAGTTCATTCAAGTTTCCTAATAGGATATAGTTAGCAAGAAGAGAAAAACATAGCGAGGATGCAATGAAAATGAGTCAAATATGTTTTTCTAATGTTAATAATAAGTATTTTTTCAATTTTAGTTTCTCTTTTATGTGTGCACAGTGTCATGCATTGAAGCTTGATAGGATATCATTTTTAAGGTAATTTTTGTTTTGGATCTATACACACACACTCACACATTAGATGATTTGGGTAATTTGGCTTTATTTATTCAAACCCCCATGTCCAGAAATATATCTTAATTAAAATTAACTTGTCTGAAAAAAAGAGCTTTTTGCAAAGAATGACTATGAAACTGTAGAGGTATTTGAACTCACAATTTGAAAGTTAAAGTATGTATTTATATTTAAAAAGCACATGCATTTTGGCTTGTCAGTATGTTTCATGATTTTTCATGGGTATAAAATATTCATCAGTAGTTAAAGTTCTTTACATGGTATATTCTGAGCATACTAGCAATACTAAAACACCATAACATTGTAGGATTAGTGCATCCTCACTTGGCCACTACAGAAAGATGGCTGAGAGCAAAATGAGCAGTGGTCTAAGATTTATGTCCTTAAAGATTGGAGGTGAATGTTTACAGATGTGTTGACACTAACTAGCTTTTGTTTACACTGCATATCATGGAGACTTATTATATTTATTCCCTGTGCTTGGATTTTTAAGTATTTTAACTTTTCAACATCAGCCTTGTAAATAACACCTATGTTGCAGGCGGTTTGTGAGTTGATAGAAAAAAAGAGCATGGACCAGATGGCTTCACAGGTGAATTTTACTAAACATTTTGAGAACTAACATCTCTCCTCAAACTATTTCATAAAATTCAAGAGAAGGAAAGGCTCCCAAACTCATTTTACAAGGCCAGCATCATCCTAATGCCAAAACCAGGTAAAGATACTGCAAAGAAAGAAAATTATAGGACAGTATCACTGATGAGCATAGATGCTAAAATCCTCAAAAAATATTAACAAACCAAATACAGCCATGCAACAAAAAGATTATAAACCATGATCAAGTGGGATTTATTCTGAGAATACAAGGATGGTACATCATTTGAAATAAACAAATGTGATTCATTACATAAAAAATGAAGAATAAAAACACATGACTATATAAATACATGCAGAAAACGCTTTTGATAAAATCCAGAATTGATGCATGATAAAAAAAAACTTTCAGCAAATGGGAATAGAGGGAACATAACTTGAAAATAATAAAGGCCATAAATGACACTCCCACTGCCAGCATCATACTCAAGGGAGAAAAACTACAAGCATTCCCCTTAAGATAGGGAACAAGACAGGGTTGTCTGCTTTTACCTCTTTTATTCAACATAGTACTGGAAGTCTTAGCCCCAGAAATCAGACAAGATGAAGAAATAAAAGTCACCCACATTGTAAAGGACGAAGTAAAACTGTCTTTATTTGCAGATGACATGAGACTGTATATAGAAAACCCCAAAGATTTCACCATTAAACTACTAGAACTGATAAATGAATTCAGCAAAGTATCAGGATAGAAAATTA